TGAGCGATATATCTTTGATTATGGTCTTCCTATCATGATTCTTTTAAAGTCATAAAATCTGGCACGGTTTCTATTTTAGGACAGTGACATCTTCTTAAGTGCTTGCATGTCTGGCGATGAGGAAGAAGTAGAAGAATTGTTAGCGAAAGGCGCAGACATAAACACTGCCACTGTTGACGGACTAACAGCTTTACATCAGGTTCTAGTCAATAGCATCATATTTACCTAGCATTTAGTTTCTCTCTACTTTTTCACATTTCGTTGTACTCGCAAACGATTTTTCAAAAAGATGCCATCTTTTTAGTCTGTTATCGACAGTAAGCCAGAAATGGTGCGTTTTTTATGTGAGAAAGGTGCTGATGTAAATGCTCAAGATAATGAAGGATGGACGCCATTACATGCAGCTGCCTGTTGTGGAAATCTTGCAATAGTTAGGTATCTATGTCAAAATGGTGCCCTCCTCAATGTAATCAACAGGTGATTAGACGGTTTCATCCTTTGATGGCCGTTTTTGTTTTTGTCGGATCATGCTCGTCATTGAATCTTGCATCGCGAACAATTTCAGCGACAAAGAACTGGCGCTGGACCTAGCCGATGACGAATCGTGCAGAGAATACCTTGAACATGATTATAGAAAGCAAGGGGTCATTCCTGAGCAATGTCGTGATCAAGAGTTTGCCACTATGATGAGGGATGTACAGCAGTGGATACGCGATGGAGAATATCGGTAAGGCTACTTGTTATATACTACCTTCCTTTTAATCTTTTCTGGTCCAACACAAAAGCTGTAGAGCTTGCACTGATCGTATATAGAATTCGATTTCTAATCGCACTTCAGTGATATGGTTTTTTGCCTAAAATCTGCTCACCTTTCTCCTTTAATAAAATCTTTATTCGCAAGAACTATGCTATCCCATCACTCAATGTTGATGTGCATTTTCCAAATATTGATCTTTTAGAGACCAACCTCATCCTCGCACAGGAGCCACTGCATTACACGTCGCTGCTGCAAAAGGCTACACTCAACTCTTAGAGTTATTAATAAAAGCCGGTGGTAATATACTGGCAAGAGATAAGGTAAGAATAGTTCCAAACAAAATCCGCTTATTTTCTAGCAGCTTGCTCTTTATCTACATAGTTTGATCAGGATTAAGTGAAAGAAGCTTCAAGATGAGTGGAAACTTCTAAATAATTGTGAGACTGTCGGAATGAGGGGCTAGAGTTATTAAGGGTATCAGCGAAGTGTTGTGTAAAACGTCAACATAGCTGTTCACCAAATT